GGCCAGGATGAGCAGGGTTGGCTTCACAGAGGTTTTATTCGTGCTCTGGACATCGGCATCACCCTCTGATATCTCTTCTCCCCCAGGAGGGACCCCAGCATCCTCACCCCCCTCCTCCCAGTGCTGTGGGCCCTGGATACAGCCCCATGGTCTCCAAGAGGGGACAAGGCCACCATCTTGTGGCCACCCCTCACCACTGCACATACCCGTGTGCAAGGCCTGGGGGGTCCCCAGGATGTGACAGCTATGGGGGTACAAGGTTTAGACCATGGGGAGCTGTGACCTCCAACTGCTCCTGGTGTCCTCATCCCCTGGGATCACATCCTGTGGGGCACATGCTGTCCCTCCCCTTGCTCCCCAGCCAGGACGCCCAGGGGTGCCAGGACACCCAGGGGTGCCAGGACACCCAGGGGTGCCAGGATAGCAAGAGAGTGCCGGCAGTGCTGCTCCGGTCCCAGTTCTGGCCCCTCCACCCCTGCCCTGCTGCTCCGTGCAGTGTCAGCCAACAGTGACCAGGGACCTCCCGGTTTGCACGGTGGGCCTCATTGAGCACAGAAAGGCAGGCAGCAGGAGAGGAAGGCTCAGGACTGAGCCCTGAGGCTGAAAATGAAGCACCTCGGGTGGTCTGAAGGAGATTTTCATCCCTGGTCACAGCATGGGAGTACAACCCACGTAGGGGATGCTGGAGAGGGATGTTGTACCAATGCCGCTGGTGACCAGCAGCCCAAAGCAAGTCCTTTTGTGCCTCTGGGAAGCGAGTTGACATGGTCTGCACACTACTGGGTTCTGCAAGGCTGCCCAGTCTGGCTTAGTGCTCATCTCCCTCCTTCTGCCTCTTCGCCTCAAGCTGGGGCTGGCTGTGGTCTCCGTGGTGGTGGTGAGCACGGGTGGCAGGTTCGTGGTCCCCACTTGTATCTGTGGCTCTCTCTCTGCTGACCTTGGGGTGGTGGTGAGGATGGAGGGGGTTGTGCTGGTGGATGGGAGTCTCTGACTCCTTCCCCTCTTGCTCGGGAAGGGGGCTTGTGGTTACAGGGGCTCCCATGGTACTGTTAGCCTGAGGAACACAACAGAAGGGCTGGTGCGGGATGTGAATCTACACAGAGCCACACAGCGAGCCTGAAAGCGTGCCTGCTAGTTGGGGTGAAAGCAGGCCAGCATCCATCATACAAAAAGCTGCGTGGGTCAGGGCAAAGGCTCTCCAGCCCCAACCCAGGGCACAGGGAGGACAGGAGAGCCTGGAGCACATTAGACGACAAGCCTCTGTACCTATGTCCCTTGGATCAAGCCGTCTGTGGTCCAGGGAATTCCTGAGCCAGGAAAGGGACTTTGCATTTATTTCTAGATGGATTTTCCTCATAGGAGGTGACAAATTGCCTGCTGAGCCCAGAGATACATCCTTTTCTTTGCTCTGAGCTTGACACATCTGGGTCCACTGCCTGCTCCTCTCTTATATCAGAACAGCCAGTGACCCCGGTTAGCTTTTCCAGACCTGGGCTATGACTCCTTTAGCCCGTTCCTTCTCGGCCTGAAAGCTCTGACCTATTTAAGTGCCCTTAGTCCAGACCTTTCATCACCTTCCCTATCAACCACGGCCGGGAGTGGCTGACAACCCAGAGCCTGTCCCCAACATGAAGATAAGGTTGTTTTTTTTCCTGATGTGCAATGTCAGAAGAGAGAAGGGAGCCTGACTCCAGCTAGCGTCCCTGCTCCTTACCTCCTGGGTGGTGTTGGGGTAGAGTGAGCAGTTGCCACAGAAGTCCTTGCTGTGGGTGAAGCGGATGGCTGACTCCACGTAGGGGAAGTGGAGAAAGCTGTAGGGCAGCTGGATGTGGAAAGCCAGGCGGCCGCACCTGTGGGGAGAAGCCGTGGCCCGGCTCGAGGCAGTGGGTCTGGGGTCCCCCCAGCCCAGCCGTGCTTTTGGAAGCCCACCAAACGCTCCATAACCCCCCCCCCCCCCAAACCCCAGGAAAGCCTCAGCCAAGATGGGGGACACTCACCGGTCGTAGACGAGGAAGTCGTCCTTGTCTCCCCCCAGGACCTGCCAGATGTCGGGCTCCTCTGGCTCCGGCTGGAAGACGAGGACACCCGGCGGGGCCTGGCGTTCCAGCTCCCCAAACATGGCGCGGGAGAGCGGCTCCTTCTCGTTGATGATCACGTAGCGGACGTCGACCATGCCCTGCCGGGCCAGCCTCTCCTGCAGGCCCCCGAGGCTGCGAGGAAGGAGGCGCTGGGGGTCGCCGGCTTGGCGAGGGGGGTGGCCGCCATGCCGTCCCCTAGGATGGCAGGGCTGGGTTCGGGGGGTGAGGGGAGCAGGGCTCACTTGTGGGCCTGCTGCAGGCAGAAGTGTCAGCTGGCCTTCAGCAGGGCCACCACCGTCACCTGCCCCGCCGCCCCCGCCATGGGGCTCGAGCCGTTGACGCTCCACGCCGGTGCCTCCTGGCAGAGCTGGCTGCCGTTGGCTGCCCCCTCCGAGGCCAAGGCCAGCTCCAGCCCCAGCCAGGCGGCCAGGGCCAGCACCAGCAGCCCCATCCCGGACCTCCGGTCCCCCTGACAGGGGGAAACGGGCAATTAATCCCCCACCGCCACCCCCTCTGCCCCAGGGTTGATCCTTCCAGCCCCACTGCAACCCCAAACCGCCTCCCCACACACCCCTCTGGGGTGGACAGAGACTGATGGCCAGTACCATGCTGGTCCCAGCACAGCGCTGGAAGCTGGGACACCCATGCCGGGGGGGGGGGGAGGCGGAGGGATCGGGGTGCCCAGCTCCCGACAAGCTCTGCACCCTCAATGCTGGCTTTTGTGGGCACCCACTGCTATAGCCAGGTGCCTCGGTCTCCCCCCATGCCGAGGCACCGGCTCCACACACCAAGGGGGGAAAGGTCCCGTTCCCACACGGGGCCATCTCCGCCTCCCGACCCCAAAAGTCAGACCCAGTCATGGCCAGGGGTCTGTCTTTGCTCCAGGGGCAGTCAGGGATGCAGCCCCCCGTTGTCCTGGCTGCGGGTAGCAAGTCAGTGGGACAGGGATGATTTCACCTTCAGGTCACCTTGAGAGTCCTCAACGCCCCACAAAATGCTTGAAGGGTGCACAGAGCTTTTAACCTCCCTGCCCCCAGTATCTGCCCCTTCATCCCACAGCCCCCCTTAACCCTGCCCACCCCAACATACACCCTGTCCCTCTGGGATGCAGCACATTTAATGGGCAGGGGGGGGACACAGGGCTAGGAGGGACGATCCAGGGAGGTGAAGAGGGAGGAAGGGGCTGCAGGGTCTGGTCTGGATGGATGTACCCCCAATCCCCAGCCCTCTCCCCCCGCGTGAACGAGCCCTCAATACCGCACTTCTCCTCACTGCTGTCCTCTGGCCAGAACTCGCTCCCAGCCCCAGCGGCTCTCGGCAATGCCCAGCTGGCCCTGGTCTCCCTTTTATCTCCTGTCCACTCTCCCCGCCCAGGAGGGAGGAGAAGAGTCCAGCTGGAGCAGCGGGGACTGCTCCCCGGCCACCACCGCCTGCCTCGAGGGATGGCAACAAGGCAGGCACTGTCCCCCTCGGTGCCACGCAGCTTCGGGGTCCTGCTGCCGCAGCCCAGCCCGAGCCATGCTGGGGCAAAGCGGTGCCTGGTGCTGGGCTGGCACAGAGGGTGCCAGGCGGTGCTGTGGGGAGAAGCCGGGCATGGCCGCTTGAAACCACCCCACAGGCACAGGAGGGCCGGGGGCATTGCCAAGGGCACCGTTCGCACCAAAGGGTTGTGGAGCCGTGGGGTGACATTGAGCAGTGCCGTCAAAGTCCCAGGGGAGCCGCCAGCGCAGCCCCTGCCACCCTGAAGCCAAAAAGATGGGTGGCTGCCCCCCACCCCTGGGGTGCCAGAGCTCCCTGCCCTGGGGGGTGCCACCTCAAAGGCCGTGCCGTCCTGCCACACGGAGCCACGGGCTGCGCTTGAGCCACGTTTGGCCCTACAGCAAGCCCCTGGCCCCGCACCGTGGGGGCTGCGGTGGTATGAGGAGCCGGTGCTCCCTTGGGAAATCACGGCATCGGCGGATTCCTGCTGCCTCTCCCCCCCCCGCCCCAACCAAACAAGAAGAGCTCACCACTTTGGCCGCACACGGACATCTCCACAAATATTTGAGCACTTTATCATACCTGTGGTCTGTACAAAAACATGATAAGGCAGGGAAGGGCAGCAGACACAGACACAACGGGGGTAGTGACACGGTCCTGCACACACAAAGAGGGGGGGGGGGGGGGGTGGCGTGACACGGTCCTGCACACACAAAGGGGGGGGGGATTTGTCCGAAAACCAGTCACAAGCAGCAGGGAGAGAGAGGACCGCTGTGGCGGGGCTGGAGGCACTCAGGGATGTCAGCAAGGACGTGGGGCCATGGGTTGGGATCGGGGAGCAGGAGCAGCCGTGCAGGGTGTCAGCCTGGAGCAAACCCCTCTCGTGACCGACGCCGGACCCTCCGCAGAGCTGTCACGCACCCCCCCCCCCCCATCCCCACGCTGCTTCCCCACAAGCCCCCGCCGGGTACCGTGAGGCACAGAGCAGGGGCACGTACCCCCCCACCACATGCCCTGCCCCGGGGGGGTGGGATTCGGGCCAGCAAGCAACGCCCCAGCACAGCCAGGAGCCATTTCACCCGCGCCCCCAGGGCACCCCCAGCCACAGCCGGTTCCTCCCCCCGCTTCGCTCACCCCCGAGCCGCGGTTATCAGCCCGGGCACCTTTTTGTTCTGCAAACACCGCCCGGCACCTCCGGGGTCGATACAAACTTTGGGCAGCCGCAAGGTCCGGCAGCCCCACGGCCCCGGCTTTAAACGTTGCCGGCAGCACCTCCCACGCCGCCCCGGCACGGCCCCACGCCGCGTGTGCCGACCCCCTCCGTGGCCGGGGCGGCACCCACCGATTCCTCCCGCCGGGGAGGCTTCCCCGTGGCGGGGACAGGTCGCTCCGCAAAACCTCCTTTGGCCTCGCCAACCCCTTTCCCCGTCCCGCCGTGGCCTCGCTGCGTGACGGGGAGGAGCGAACTGAAGCCGCGTCTCCGGGGCCGGCCCCCGCCCCGGCATCCCGTTCGCCCGCAGCCTTGACCCCGGTGAGCCGCAGGCCGAGGGCGATCCGGGGCCCTGCAGGCCCCCACGGGCACGGGTGGGGGCGGGTCGGAGGGCTGGGGGTGACGGGGCGGTGGCGGGAGCAGAGCGGGACGACGCTGATCCCGCAGCGGGGACGGAGAGGGGGGGGAGGAGGGAAGGAGGGAGCACCAGCCGAGGCGTGCGTCCCTTGCCTCCCCGGGCTGGTGTGGAGCTGCTGGGGGCCCCCCCCTGCTCCCGCGTGGGAGAGATGGGGTACCCGGTTGCAGCGCAGCCTCTGTGTCTCAGCCTAGCAGAGCCCTGTGCCCAGCGCTTGCAGGGAGTGCTCAGTGCACAGCCCTTTTTTTTTTTTTTTTTTTTTTTTTTGGGGGGCGGGGGGAGGCAGAGTGGAATGTTTAAGCAGATTCCGCCCCCCAGCCCACCTCTCTGGGGTCCGGCCAGGGCGGCTGACGTGTGGCGTGGGGTCAAGAAGCCTCAGTGGGATGCTCTCAAGAGGTGATGCCAAGTCAGTTTTTGGACAGATATTTTTCCCCCCCTTTCAGCATGACGCTCTTGAGAGGTGATGCCGAGTGGGGCTTTGGACAGATATTTTTTTCCCCCTTTCAGCGTGGTGGGTAGTTGGGTGGGGAGGGAGGTTGCTTTTCCTCCCCCAGTGTCCCTCCTCTTCCACCCTCTGCAGCCCTAAGGCAAGGTCACTGCCCCAGGCGTGGTGGCTCCGCTGTCCTTGCTGGGGAGGGGAAGGGCACATCAGCCTGCTGGGAGCCCACTGCTCCCCCCAGCCCTTTGTGGGACAGCACTGGGGCAGCACAGGAGCCTTTTAGCTGTAACAAGTGTGTTGCTCCCTGTTTACCAGTCCCACCTCCATGTTCCGGGTACAAGACATTTCACTCCCCAACAACTCTTGTCCCCATAGTCTTGCTTACACGTGCATACACCTCCCTCACCCGCATTCCCCCCTAACCTCCCTGTAGCACCCTCGGTGGGGACACATGGCTCCAGAGGGGACAGGCTGGGCTGCAGGCAAGGCTATAACGGCTTTCCTCCTCTGCAACCCCAGGCGTGGGCATAGGGCAGGGCAGCATAGCGAAGGGGGGGTGCGACAGCTCAGCATCCTCAGGCAGCATTTTACTGGTGGGTGCCCTTGCACAGAGCATATTGTCTCACGAGACCCACTTTTTAAAAACACACACGTTTAAGAGTGCAGATTTACATGTGTGTGCCTCTGTGCGCGCAAATGCGCTCTGGCTCTCTGCAAGGAGTTGGGGAACGGCTCCTGCCTGCAGCCAAGCAAGCCCCCCCCCTGACCCCCTGCGTCCTCCCGCAGCCTGCCCAGCCATGGCAGCCTTGCTGAGCCGCCCCTGCTTCATCTCCCTCCACGTGCCCTACAGACAGGGCTGGGCCCAGGACCTGGCCAACACCTTTCGCTTCCAGCCCGTGGCCGTGCGGGAGACGCCGCGAGTCCGGCAGCTCGCCTTGCGACGGGGATCCGCCGTCTTCCTCGTCAACGAGCGCCTGGCGCCGGGGCCTGCCGACTTTCTCTATGATGTGGACCCCCAGCCCGCACTGGGCACGGCCTCCAACGTCTGCTTCGAGGTGGACGACGTCTTGGGGCTCTGCAAGCAACTGCAGAGCCGGGGGTGCTCCCTGCCGGTGCCCCCACCGAGGTGAGGGACGATGGTGGCTCCGTCACCTACAGCGTGGCAAGCTCCATCGTGGGCAACATCAGCCACACCCTTTTGGACAGATCCCGCTACCAGGGATCCTTCCTACCTGGCTTCCAGGCCATCCAAGGAGCCCCCTCAGTCACAGGGGACGGGATCGAGATCACCCACTTCGATCACATCACATACGTCTGCCCGCGGGGCGGTGCCCGGGTGGCTCTGGACTGGTACCAGCACTGCTTTGGCTTCCAACGCTTCATGCTGAACCCCCAGGAGAGGCCGGCTGAGGGGTACATGCTGGGGGGGCAGGGGGTGGGCATGCTGCTCCTCGCGCTGCAGAGCGCCCGGGGCGCCCTGGCACACGGCTGCAAGCTCATCCTCGCCGAGTCCCTCTCGGAGGACGGCACCAACCAAGTCGACACCTTCCTAGAGCAGCACGGTGGGGCCGGGATCCAGCACGTCGGCCTCCGCACCACCGATATCGTCGCCACGACCAGGGCTTTGCAGCAGCGGGGCGCGCGGTTCTTCACACCCCCTACCACCTATTACAACCAGGGGGGCAAAGTACAGGAGATCCGGGGGGCCGGGCAGGACCCCCACATGCTGGCAGAGCTCGGCATCCTGCTGGACACCACAGCACCTGGGGACAAGGAGCTGTGGGGCACTGAAACCACAAAGAGCCCTTCCCAGAATTATCTGATGCAGATCTTCACCCATCCCATCTTTTCAGAGGAGACCTTCTTCCTAGAGCTCATTGACCGGCGGGGAGCGCTGGGCTTCGGGGAGGGCAACATACGGGCACTGTGGAAAGCTGTGCAGGTCTATATGGACCAGCAGCAGTAGTAGCAACACTGTGATCCTCCTCCCTCAGCTCCCCCTCCTCTCCGGTTCAACCCTGGGGCAAATACGCCACTGAGGAGATATCAGTGGGTGCCTGTGGCATGGCCCGTGGGGGCAGGGACCAAGGGAGGTCTCCAGGCCAACCCAGAGCCATCTCAGCACGGGAGCAAGCTGCTCAGGCCAAATCCAGCACGGCTCTGAGCATCCCCAAGAACAGAGGGTGATTTCTCCCCCTCCCTGGGTTCCCAGTGATTTATTGACCTCACATGAAGGACTTTCTGCCTTAATTTTATCTTTATTTAATGAGACTTGTGCCTGCAGCATGGCCAAGAACACTGCTGGCACAGCAACGCCCCCAGCCATGGGGGGATGAGGGGCTGCCTGAGGGGAGTGGATAACCTGGGGGCCATGGACCCAGCCCCTCATCAACAGTTACAACCCAGAGCACGGCCAACCCCCGCGCAGGGCAAAGGCTGGCCTCTCCTCTCAATTAAAGAATTAACTTGCAAGCACTGCTTTGGTTATTTTCTCCTCCCATTTAAGATGTGGTGAGCGCCAGGCAAGGATGAAATGGCCCTTTTTTGCCCCTTGAGGCAGGCTGGCCCCAGTCCTGCAGTACCTAAACTGAGTCCACTTGCCCCTTGTGCACCCCTCAGGACTGGCCCCTGTCCCTGCCAGGCCTGGGGGGTGCCTTTGCAAGGGTGCTGCTGTGCATCAGAGTCAGGAAAATCCCCAGTTTGAACACAGTGAGGAACAGCCTGACAGAAGAGGTAGAAAAGGGGCATAAAATCCTACAAAAAGCCCGTGGGAGGGCTGCTTGGCCCCAGGGTGGAACAAGGCACAGGCAGGAGCTGTGCAGCCCCCAAGGGCTGATGCTGGCCCTCCCAGGAGAGGTGATCTGGGTGCCTTATTGGGGGTCACTAGCAGTTAATGCTCAACCAAGGGGGTCACGGGTGCATTAAGGAAGAAAACTCTGTTGGCCCCAGCCTGGATGTACAGATCCTGCTGGCCATCCTCACATTCAACCACAGGCTGCCCATCCCATTCCACCTTAGCCCAGTGCATCAGAGGCAGAAAGTCACTTAAAAAACCCTCCATCCTGTAGATTTATTATTAGAAAGCCTGTGGCTCAGGTTCAGTAAAAACAAGTGTATAAAAAGGGCTATTGGAGGCCGGGAAGGGTACAGCAGCATCCACAATTGCTGTCTGGCGGATGAGGTGCAGGCAGGCAGCCAGGGCTGGGGCTAGGAGAGCGATGTGGCCCCAGTCTTCCTGCTGCCAGAGAGAAACCCTGCTGCCACGCGTCAGCAGTGCTGGAGCGGTGGCTGTACGGGGCCAAACAACCCCATGAGGGCTCCAGCCAGGGCAGGGGGAGAAGTCAAGCCTGGCTCCAGGTCATATCCAGGGCCACAGTGGCCACATCAAGGCTCAACTTCCACAGGGGAGCTGGAGAAGCCAGTGGACTCTGCAAGGTGTGGGAGGCTGTTACAGGGCCGTGTACTGGGCTCGCAGCAGTGCGGGGGCCACCCTCCCCACACCGCAGGCAGGACTCACCGCACTACGGGTCTCTGGTGGGCTCAGAGGTGGAAGGTGCTGTCACGGGGCCGTCGGGGCCCGGAGGAAGGCGTGGAGGGAAAGCTGCGTCCCAGGGCAGGTGCTGCCCGCTCCCTGAGATTTTGCCCCCCGCTTCCGCTTGGAGCCCTGCGGGAGACACACAGCAGGGCTAAGCCAAACCCCAAGGGTCCCCCCCTCCTCGCCCCAGCCTCCAGAGATCCCCCCTGGAGCAAGGGGCCCCCGGTACTCGGGACATGCTGGGGCAATGCCAGCCAGGCAAATCCCCCAGACGCAGCCCTGCCCCAGGCTGGCGATGGTCCCTGGCCTGACCCCAAACCCCGGGGGGGCTCCAGCCCCACACACCAGAGGCTGGCCCACAGCAGCTCCTGGGGCTCCACGCACCCTCCGGCGATGCTCACCGTGCCGGAGCTGCTCTCCTTCCCACGCTGCTTCTCACGCACTTTCAGCACCTGAAGAAAGCACAAGGAGAGGCCAGAGCTGAATGGAAGCTAGGTCCTGGAGCCCAGACAGCCTGCAGAGGTTGGGGGGGATGCCAGAGGCTCTCCTAGGAACCCAGAGGAGGGGGAGGAAAGGCTCATGTGCCACCCAGTACCTTCTTCATGGCTGTGGACACAGCCGAGGCATGGAACTCCTCCTCTGTCACCCAGCGGGATGGGGACAAGGCAGGGTCCAGGGTCATGTCCCCATCCAGGGGCAGGGAGTAGACTACATAGGTCTGGTGAATGTGAGAGAAGATGTGGACAACCTGTGAGAGGATGGGAAAACATATGAAGGGGGCAGCTGGCAGGCAGCTCTGCTGCCCCACAAGTGCACTGAGCGTGCCAGGGCTCGGGAGGGGTGACAGCAGGGAAGGGGGACCATCCTTCCCCATGCTACGTCCCTTGAGGCTGAGCACAGGGTGCTCACACTGCATCCCCACCTCTCCGATAAGCTGCAGGCTTCCAGCTGCCACGGGCTGCCCCATCCAGGCCTGAAGATAATCTGCCAGCGCCTCCCTCTGCTTCTCCTCCTGCAGACCCTGAGCCAGTGGGAGACTTGGGAACTCCCAGAGCCCGGCCAGGAGACCTGAGGAGGGGGCAGGACAGGGACCTGAGCCAGCAAGAGGCACATCTGGGGATACTAAGCCTCATCACAGCCCTAAGGGGCTCCTTCCCCCACGCCAGCCGCAAGCACTTCACAGATGCACTCCTCCCAGGCTGTTCTGTCCCTTGTGCAGGTGGGAGGGGGCCGTGCGGTGCCTTTGCTCCCCGCTTCCACCCAGCCCCATTACCCGAGCTGGGTCTCTGCACGATGAGGTACTCCGGGGCCCCATGGCAGCCCCTCCGCTCCAGCACACACGTGGCCGTTCGCACCACACGCGGCTGCTTCTTCGCTGCTTTCCGGGGGAAGTTGGTCACCCCCATGCTGCTGTCCCATGGCTCCGCAGCCGGGGGGCACAAGGGACAGCCCCCAACACCTGCAAACACCACCAATATAACAGCTGCCGCAGCGCCCAGACCCAGAGCTACAATGTGGATCTCCCCACGTGCTTACCACAGTCCTCAACATCAGGCACTGGGGTGGGTTTTCCAAACAGCTTCTGAGAGGCAAAGGCCAGCTCCTTCTCCACCTGCAAGTGGGGACAGAAATCAGGACAGTCTCATGCACCAGCCCACCTTATCCCCATGCACGGCAACCCCTCGGGGACAGATTTTGGGGCCATACTTACCCTGCGCCTTGCTCGGCAGTGCTGCTTCACAGGGCACTCCTCGCACAGCGGCGCCTTGGGCACACACACAGTTGCCCCCAGCTCCATCAGGGCTTGGTTAAAATCCCCTGGGCGGCTCCTGTCTACCAGGGCATTGGCCATATCCCTGGGAGAAACAGCAGTGAGCAGCGCGGGGCTCTGTGGGGAGAGGACCTTTGCCTGCCTCCTGCCTGCGAGGGGGGATGCTCCTAGGTAGGCAGAGGCAACACGGCTCCTTTCTCCACCACCCCCAGCAGCACCATCTTCTCAAGAGCTCCCACACCCCACGCCTCTCTCCCTTCGCAGGCTGAGCTCCCCAGAGCTCCCGAGTGATCCTGCCCTGGGCCACCAACAAGCACAGCCACGATTGCCACAGCTCAGAGTGGGGACGGAGCTCTCCCCTTACCAGAGCCGGTCGATGACGGCCGGGCTGCTGGAGTCGGCACCGATGCACCGCAGGCGGCACAGGACCCGGATCACGTTCCCATCCACGACACCGGTAGCCTGGGACCAGGAGCTGGGGTTAGAGCGCCGGGAGCTGCCCGTGCTCCTGGCAAGGCAGGGAGCTGGGGTGCTCCCAGGATGGAGGGGGGACACACATGAGGCTGACCCACAGGCCAAGCCGGGCAGCGGGCTAGGCGCACCCCAAAGTGGGGGAGAGCCAGAGCCATGCACAGCCCTGGGGAGCCCCTGGCTTGTGAGACCCAGCTGCAGGACCCCACCGGGAGTGGGGCTGGGCAGCAGAGAGGGGAGACGTGCCCACTGATGCCCAGCTCTCACCTGCCCGTAGGAGATGGATGCGATGGCTCCCGCCGTGTATCGGCCCACTCCTGGCAGCAGCCTCTGCAGCTCCTCAGCTGTCCTGGGCATCCGGCCGGCCAGCTCAGACACCACCTGGCAGAGAGGGGACCGAGGTCAGGGGAGCAGCCGGGAGGCGTGCGTGCAACCCATTTTACCCACAGTAAGATGGGATCCCAGCCTCTGCAGCCTCGTGCCAGCAGCACACAGCCCCAGCACAGCAGAGCAGACGTGAGCCAACGCCAACCAACGGGCCACAGAGGGCTTTGGAAACACCCCCCACATCCCAACACCAGCACACCTTCCTTGCTGCCTCCTGCAGACGCTTCCCTCTGGAGTAGTAGCCAAGTCCGGCCCACAGCTCGTTCACCTCCTGCTCCAAGAGACACGGCATGGTGTTAGATGAAGAGCCACGAGGGCAGGGAGAGCACCCGGCCCCAGCAATGCTCACCTCCAGTGACGCCTGCGCCAGAGCCTGCAGCGTCGGCCACTTCTGCGGTACAGAAGGAAAGGGACAAGTCAGGGACAAGCAGAGCCCTGCTCTGCAGCTGGGGATCTGCCACAGGCAGTGGCCAAGGTCTCCAAAAGGGGCAACCTGTGAGCACAGGACTCTGCAAGGAACAGTCACCTGCATCCAGCGGTTGTAGTAGCCAATCACCGTAGCCACCTGCGTTTGCTGGAGCATGATCTCAGACACCCACACTGCAGGGAGCAGGGCAGGGATCAGAACAGAGGCACCCACACCACCCACGACTCGTGCTGTGGCCACGTTAGCACTAGCTACAAACACTGCACCAGCATCCAACCCATGGAACCCCCTCCCACCCCTCGTTTTCGTCACACGAACTCCTTCAGTCCCTGAGCGGGCTCTAGGACCCCCCCAACGTCGTGCAAGGGTGGGGGTCAGTGGCTCTCATGGCCACTCAGGCAGCCTGTCGATGGCAACTGAAGCCACATTTTCTCACAAGGCCACGCTGCACATCCACATCAGGGGGCAACATGCAGCAGGGCATCCCGCGGCGCAATCCCTGCTCCTCACCTGCGTATGCCCGTCTGTCTGCATCCGGCTCAGTTACTGCCTGAAAGGGGAAGAAAAATAGAGCGTGAGAAAAAGGTGACACAGCACCCCACTGCAGAGGGGACCTACATGTAAAATAAAAATTGCCTGTGGTGTGTTTTGAACACTGCGTGGGAATCTGAAAAAAAAATATTTCCCCCAAGTGCTCAGAAGTCCTGATTTTGGGTTAATCATATGACAGCCAAAGTGCCTTCTCCCTGATGAAATATGCCACAGTGAGAGTTTACCTTAGAGGTTCACAATCCCACTGTTGGAGCTGTCCCAGACCTGAGCCCCTCTGCACGGGAAGCAGGCAGGTGTAAACCCCAGCGAAGGGTTGTGCAATTTCTAGCACCATCTAGACAGACGCTGCTGTAAAGCCCACGCACACCCCTGGCACCACAACCACTGTCTAGGCCCTTTTGCCAAGCTGAGCACAGAGTATGTAGGAGCTTGAATAAAAATACTTTGATGGGCTTAAAGCAAATACACGGAAAAGGCTTTCCATGCAGCGCTCACTGCTGCAGGGTATCACAGAGGGAGGAACAAAACACTTTTAAAAGACTAAGAACCATAGAAAAAGTACCCCTGGTTAGAAGTCGTGGTCAAGAAGCACGGTTTCACCCTGTGCCCTGCTTTATTCGTCCTCCGTAGGGGCTGGCTGCAGAGCACTTACCGCGGAACTGCCGGGGCTGGCTGGGAGCATGCTCCCGTTCCCAGCGCCGCCTCCCTCTTCCGCGCAGCGAGGGACGCACCGCAGCACCAAAGCCACCGTGGGCACCCCAGAGACGCTCCCTGAAGGCGGAGGGGCCGGCTCCCCGCCGCGGCACCCCTGCCTCCCTTCGCCTCGCCTCTCCTCACCAGCGTCCTCCAGGGAAGGTCCCGCTTGCACCGGTCGTACCAAGCCAGCAGGTCCCCGCGCAGGGCCTCCATCTCAGCCGGGTCGCTGAAGCAGTGCTGGGCGGGCGGCGGAGCAGCGGCCCCTGCCAGGAGAGCAGCGGGGGGGGGGGGGGTCGGGGCAGGGCTGCGGGACCCCGCGGGGCTCGGCCAGCCGCTCAGCGGCTTTACTGGGCTGTGGCCCCGCGGGGACGCGGCGAAACACCGGCAGCTGCCCGGGTGGGAGGACGCCCCACGCTGCCACGCTCCCGCTCCCCCCCAGCCCTCCCGCTACCGGGCACCTCCGCGGGATGACGACGCGCCCTTCCTGCTCGGCGCCGCCCCCCCGCCGCCCCGCCGGAGCCCCCCGGCAGCGGCAGCGCCGGCCGCAGCCCGCAGCGGGCTCACAGCCGCCATGAGGCACTTTCCCGGGAAAATGTTTCCCCGCCGGGGTCCCGCCCCCGCGCGGGGACAAATCAGAGGGATCGGTCCCGCCCACCTTCCGCCGGTGAGCCAATGGGAGCGAGGCTCGGGGAGGGAAGGGGGGGGGAAGAAAGCTTGCTCGCGGCGGAAAGGGGGCGGGACCTCCCGGCGCGCCAGAGCCAATCAGTGCTTCGGGAAAGAAAACGGGGCTGGGCCCACCCTTTCCCCCGCACGAGAAGGACCCCAACGGGCTGCGCAAGCAAAACGCCCGTTTACCGAAAAAAAAAAGTAAATTTCGGTTGAAAACGGGTTTTCGAGAAGGGGGGGGGGCGGAAAAAAAAAAAAAAAAAAAAAAAACAAACAAACCAAAAAAGTCCGGCGGTGGCGGGTGGCAGGAAGCGAGCAGGCGGCGCGCGGGCGGGGCGGAGGCCCCCGGGAGCGGCCATGGCGCGGCGGCGCGTGCCGGTGGTGGACGTGCAGAGCGACAACTTCGCGGAGCTGTGGCCGTCGGTGGTGCTGGCCCTGCGCACCGCCACCTTCGTGGCCGTGGACACGGTGAGGCGGGGGGAGCCGAGGCGGGCTGGGGGGCGGTGGGGGTGGTGCGCGGCCCGGCGCGCTGACGGGCGTCTCCCCGCAGGAGCTGAGCGGCCTCGGCGCCAGGAAGTCGCTGCTGAGCCCGTGAGTGTCGCGGTCACGCGTCGCGGGGGTGGGTGGGGGGGTGGGATCCCTTCCCCCCTTTCGGGGCTCAGCTCTCCTTCTCCCCGCCGCCGCAGGTGCATCGAGGAGCGGTACCGGGCTGTCTGCAGCGCGGCCCGCAGCCGCGCCGTCCTCTCCCTGGGCATCGCCTGCTTCAAGCGGCTCCCGGAGAAGGTGGGTGCGCGGCCGCAGCTCTCGCTCCCCCGCCGTCCCCGGGGGAGCGGCGGGCACCGGGACCCAACCCACCCGGAGCGGCTCCCCGTGACCCGTGTCCCTCCCGCTCTTGCTTTGCCCGCTCGGCCCCCGCAGTCCGAGAGCGCGTATCTCTGCCAGATCTACAACCTGACGCTGCTCTGCATGGAGGATTACGTTGTCGAGCCCCAGTCGGTGCAGTTCCTGGTGCAGCACGGCTTTGATTTCAACAAGCAGTACTCCCAGGGGATTCCTTACCACAAAGGCAACGACAAGGTACGGAACCACCCTCCTGTGGCCACCTCACCTTGCGCTGCTCCTGGGGAGGTTGCTGGCCTCCCCCGGACACAGCTCCGGAGCGGAGACGGGCTCACGCTGGAGTCTGGAGCATGGCATTATCCCTTTCAGCTCCCTGCTGTTTTATATCCAGGTTGTCACGTTTTTCCAAATGTTTGGCCAGAACAAGTCATAGCTGTAGGCAGTATTCAGCTACAGCAAGGTCTGAGGACTTCCCAGGGTGGTGGCAAGGCGCGGCGCCAAGGCTCGTTGACAAATCCTTCTTCTTGCAGAGCGATGAGAACCAGAGCCAGAGCGTTCGGACTTTGTTTCTGGAGCTCATACGAGCAAAGAAGCCTCTCATTCTTCATAATGGCCTGATCGACCTGGTCTTTCTGTACCAGTGCTTTTACGCTCATCTCCCCGACAGCCTCGGCACCTTCACCGCTGACCTCTCGGAAATGTTTCCAGCAGGAATATATGACACCAAATATGCTTCAGAGTTTGAGACTCGCTTTGTAGCATCCTACTTGGAGTATGCTTACAAGAAGTGGTAAGTGGTGCTCTGGTATTTTAAGCTTACAGGAGGAAAAGCAAAGGGAGCCTCTGTGTTTTGTTTGGTTTTTTGTTTTTGTTTTTGTTTTTTTTTCAGGCAAGAGGGCTGGCTCTTTGTATTATCCCAATGAGTGAAGAAAAGTGCTTTTCAGGTAACTCTGCCCTGTGCTCTTCCCGTTTCTAGGACAGGCGCTGAGTGCATAAGGGTCCATTTTGTAATATGGCTTATCTGTTTGGCAGGCAGCTGCTGAAAGAGGTTTTCATTCTTCAGCTGGCAGCAGTTTTGACCGCAGAGCGACCTGATCTAACTGAAAACTAATTGATTTCCTGCATTGCCCTGGTCTAGCAGTGCCACGGGGCTGCGGCAGGGGCACATGCAGAAGAGAGACCCTTAAAACTCACCAAGAGAGCAAACAGGAGGAGGGCTGTGTCTGCGGAGCCTGCTCGTTACAGCTTGTGAGGGAGGGTGCAGTTAAAGGGTGGGCGCTCCCTGCACCTCCTGACGCTGACCAGCTCCGTCACACATCCCACACGTGACACTCGTGTGTGGCCAGCTACAACTCCCCTCACTTTCCTTCCAAGCGAAGGTTGTGCTCTTGTCCCAGGATGTGTGTCTGTCTCCTTTGCCTGTCAGTCTGGCCACTCATTCTGTGCTCCCCACACAATCTAAACGAGGCTCTGGCAGTGACTCAGCCCCTTGAATCTCCATTAAACTGAAGTCACACTGTGTAGAGAAGAAATGGTATTTTTAGTGACTGTTTTACATCAGGAAGTAGCCACTTTGACAGATCTGAAAACATTAAAGGTGGCTGTTCTCAAACATGAGAATGCTTTGTTTTGACAAGATAAAAATACTTTTTAAACTGACCTCTTCAATGTTTTAACCCACAATTCTAGTTACGTGGAGCTTTCCAAAGGTTTTGGCCCTTTTAGCCAGCTCCTGGGACAAACCGATTCTTTTCTCCTGAGATGGAAAATGTTTCCTTGTTGTCTGTGTTTTCCAGGTTTGACCTGTCAGGGCCGTGGCTGCTGGCTCTACATGATACCTCATTTTGGGGCATTTTTTCTTTGTCCATTAACATTATGAAAGCTAACACATATCTTAGTGCCCTTAATGTTTAAAATCAAACTATGTGTCCACTTCTCCCACAGCTTCACTGGAGACGCTGTTGTCCTTGCCTGTATGTCGGCATAAGAAAAATCAACCTTTGCAGAAACAACTACTTACTAAAGCTATTCTCCCAGGACTGAGTTTCCAGGAAGCTGTTGACCTGGGGGCTAGAGCTCAAGAGCAGGAAACCAGTAGAGTTGAGATGGGGTGGAGAGCAGCGTGTTCGCAGGAGCTCCACACTGTGGTACCCTCAGTGAGTTAACCGCAGTAACTGTGTACTCTTGTTTGTTCCAGCCAGCGAGAGAACTGCAAGCTGAAGGACTCCGGCAGCCAGCACCTCACCATTGAGTTCTGCAACTACCCTGCCAACATGTCCCGTTACATCGACTATCGCCACTGCGCTTTTGAAGAAGAAAGCCACAATGTGGGAGGGGGAAATAAGGTGCCTGTCTGTGAGAAATTTTCGGTAAGTAAGATGAATCTCTGCTTCCTTCCCGGCTCCATGGAAAGAGCCACACGTGGCCAGAGCAGGAAGGTAGGAAAGCATCTGAGAACTTCCCCTTGCTTGCTTCACGGTACAAGGAAAATTTTTCAAGCTTCCGGTGGCTTCATGACAGCAAGGGCAATAGCATGCTCTGTTTGGAGGTGGTGAATTCCACAGGCTACGTTAGACACGAAGATTCAGGAGGAGTTTAAATGGTCCTGAATAGTGGGATGGCACGAGTTACAGGGCACCGTGGCTGTCTTGGGAGGGCTCTAAGTTCTAAATTAGTTTGGCTTGTCCTCTGAGCAAGAACTGCCACCTCCCCCATATCCTGATTAGATATAAAAAAATATTACCTGTCTGCAGCTTCTGGCACTGTAGCACCATGTGATCCACAGCATCGAGTCATCGAGTCTTGGTGCTGCTACAGCAGTAACCAAAGAGCCCATCTGGTCAGATCAGAACTGTTTTCAGATGCTTTAGGGAGAAAAGGAGCTCTTCTAGATGTTACACATTACTGTCACAGAAGAACACAGATTGGGGAGATCTCTGAAAGTTTCTCATCCAGTGTTGCTCAGATCCTTGTTTGGTGAATTTTGAACATGTCTAAGGACAGAGATTACAAAACCCCTCCAGGCCCCTGTTCCAGTAGTGCTTGACCACTCATTGCGAAAAATGTTTTCCTGTATATCTAGTCAGAATTTCCCCTGTTAACACCTTACATTTCCCTATGCTCTCCTCAAAGGAGTTTAGCTCCATCTGTTCTATAACCTCTACTTTAGGTACTTGCAAACATCAACTAGACACCCCATTCCCTTAGCCTTGTTTTCTGCAGGTAGAACAAACCCACCTTCCTTGCCCTCTCATACGCTGTGTGCTTCGTTTTGACCCCACTGCACTTTGTTGATGCCTTTCTTGGGTGTTGTCTTGTGTAACTGGACATGGTGCTCCTGATGCAGCCTCGCAAGCCCTCAGGGCAGAGAATCATTAACTCTGCTACATGCTATGGCAACAGGAGGCTGGTGACTACAGACATCTCTCTCTCTCTGTCCCTAGGCCTATGGCTGGTGTCCAAAAGGGGTGAAGTGTCCACAGTCTCATAACATTGACCTCATAATTGATGAGGACGACAGGCTTTGGGAGGAGAAGAGGAAGAAACGGAAACACAAGTGGAAGCGTCGGAAGAACACAGCAGAGCCTGCAAAGGTGTTCAGGCAGGAAAGCTCAGGGAAAGAAACGGAGCTAGCTCAGAATGGAGAGGAGGGACCACCACGAAAACAGAGCTGCTATGAGGCTGCAGCTGCTACGGAGCTGGAAGAGATCACACCCAACAGTGAGGGCAGGCCACAGGAGGAGAATTCCATGGACGTGGAACCGGAGGTCAGCTCAGATACCAGCACACAACGGGAAGAGGACCTGGGAAGCACTGAAGAAAGCACTGCCCAGGTAGCAGCTGCTGTGAGCCCTTCTGCCAAGGGAAATGCCTCTGCCAGTGGCCAAGTGGAAGAGGAGAAGTCAGAGGTTTCTGCGGGGGTGGGCTCAGTCGGTCACCCAGACATCCCCGAGACTGAAGCAGCATGTGCTGCAGAAAAGGAGAAGGAAACCCATGCTCCACCTTCCCAGGGAGGCACACACCGAGCTGGCTTTGATGCGTTCATGACTGGCTATATCATGGCTTATGTCTGGATGCTCAAGAAAGGAAAAAACACAGATGCTGGTGCAGGGCCTTGGTTACCAGACTGCCATAATAAACTATACCTCAGTGGGAAATCAGTGCCACTTCAAATAGTGAAGAGCTTGTTTTCTAAATCTTCCAAAGCTCACAGCCAGAAGATGAAGTTGGCCTGGGCCAGTGGCTAGAGCTAGAGGACTCCTCACTGAACTGGGCTTTTTTTCCCCTCAAGTTTTGAAGTTCTTTATTCCGTCAAGAACTGACCAGAAGGGGAGCAAGTTTCTCACTTTTTTGTTTTGACTTCTGACTGATTAAATTGCTCTCAATTGGAGTTCTTCCTGTCATTCCTTAGTGGCATGCTGGGCTGTGAAGGCAGGGGTGAGGCTGAGGAAGAGGGCGGAAGAGTGCACCTCTCCCACCTTTTCAAAAGGAGCATGTTCTAAATGACAAAGTCTACCTAAAAAAAACCACATCTGAAAGCTCCAAGCTGTTGACCCATACAACCAGCTTGATAGGAAATGCTATAAACTGTCACTGGAAGAAGATGCACTGCTTCTGCCAGACAGCAGATGAAAGCAGGCTAGCTCTTCAGGCAAAGCATACATTTTTATGAATGCTTAGTCAAGTGTTACTGCTTTCAGTCACTGCTGGTAGGGAAACTCCCTATAGCCTCATAATTATTTCCTGTCTTTCTAAGGAAGTCAGGAAGGAAAAAAGTGTCATCTTCGTAGGAAAAAAAAAAAAAAAAAAAAAAAAACAAACAGACTCACTGACCATGGTTTAGACATGAAGCTGGGAGAACTATCCCACTTCACAGTCGTACTTTACCTTAATCCTGGTTACAGCATACATAGGCTAGACTTGTGCTCCTAGAGGAGAGAGGGGAAGGAGAAAGCTCCCAAATGGGCCAGGTGATTCTAGTGCAGGGTACCTGCATGCAGAACTAAGCCACAGCAGGTCTTCAAGCTTCTAAGCAAGGGGAGATGCAGTGGGACTTAAAGCCAAATGCTGTCCTCTAACTGCACTGCTTCCTGTGCTGCTGAAGCTGTTCTGTGGGGCTAGAACAGAGCAGCCACAACGGCAAGCTCCCTGCAGGCTGAATGCTATCAAAAGCCATCTTGTGTTGTAGGTCACAAGCTACTTCAGAGCACTAAGGCAGAACAGAAAAAAAAAATAAGTCCGTGAGTCTCATGGATTTAATAGTGTATCACTTCAGCAAGAAAGATGCAGGAGAGAAATAACACTGGATAAGCATGACAGTTCTGCCTGCTTATAATTCAGCACCAAGTAATAGTGAATACGATCTCAAGGCAGGTATTAATGTCACCAATAGCTTAAGTAAGCATTTGAGCCAGCTTTTCTAACCTAGAGTTGCCCTCTTAATCACAAGACCGAGGCCTTCATTTTATTTTTATTTTGAAAGCAAGTTGGGAAAGTTTACAAAACCGACCAAGAAAAAATTATGAAAATATTTAACTGGATTCATCTTTGGTTACTTCTTATTGCAGTTCCAATAAAACATACACCATTTCTATAGTTCAAAAAAAGTCAGAAGGTCAATCAACATAAAAACAAGACGTGCTTTCTTTACATATTCATAAATATCCACAATATTAGAAAAGTTGTTTTGCAAAGATTCTTTTTTCTGGCAGTGTTAACTTACTATTATACACAGGCTACAAACTTCTTCCTAAGCCTTTAATTACAAGTTGAGCTATTTACAGACTGCAAAATATTAAGACGTAAAACTCCTTCATAAATACGAAAATAGATCATCTCGCAAAGATCTTTATACTTAATCAAATATCTGGCTGCCCCTGCTCCCCCAAAAAAGGTTATTTGTTTTGCATAGAAATGTAGTGACATGCAATATAAACAATAGCATTAAGTGCAAACAGGAATTATTCAAGTGTCTTTAGTTGTACTGGCAAAAAATACCAATGTTCTGTTACACATAATACATCAACGCCTCTCCAACAAGTGTAAGTCTACTATATCCCCTTGTCTGCACTGTTTCTGAGGGGCAGCAATTCACATGCATCCTCTTAGTTGCATTTTATCAACCTGCAACCACAACAAAAATAGCTTATAACAAACACTTAAATGAATTCAACATAGAAAGATTTAAAGTGAATTAAAAACATCTTTGATCTCTTTAGGGAACTTAGCAATGTGTAGAAAGTGTTTTAAAAGAGCAAGAACTGCTCCTGTAAGAAAGTCAAAAATCATGATAAAATCCAATCACAATAAAACTTTTGACTCGTCACTATAAAAGAAGGAATTTGCTGACCACATGTTTGTATTCGTGTTCATCAGTAGCTGTCAGAAAATGGCCCCCTGTAGAAAAGCACCCTCAGGTAGGCAGAAAACCTAGGAGTAGTTACTAGGTGCAACCTAGATTCAGCTTTACACTACCAAAGGGATGAGATGTAGTGAGTCCCAACTGCACCCAGACCCTTGGAAACACTTGGTTTCAGCAAGCAGTGAGCTATTTTTAAATGGCCTTTTACTCCAGTTTCATATACATGCCTCTTTTCCCATGCAGACCAAGAATCCGGTGTTTCTGACTTCTCCACCTCGATACAAAGAGCTAGAAAAGTTGATAGAAGTGTCCTATGCATGTCAGCTGGCTGTTCTTAGAGTAGACATTTAAGAAAACAAAATTTTAGCCATGCTGCTTTGTAAGAGAGCTATTCAAGGCAGGGAAACATTTCAAAAGACGTTGTAAGGAAACAGATGAGATCAGTGTGATGGATGCCACAGAGCTACTCCCAGCCTGACTGCACAGGCTTTGCAGTCAGTGTCAGAGAGGGCAACAGGCTTCATGATGAGGTGTCAGCAATGCCAACCAGGGCTAATGCAAGCCACAGAGCAGCCAGAGGCATGCGTGCTCTACGATGAGGCTGCAGGCAGTTGTACGATGCTGGACAACTTTGTCACAGCCTGGTGATCCAGAAGTAAACTATTCCTTGTTATTGCTTGTTTGTCTGAAGTCACAAACCTAAATGCATCTTGTGACAACAGAAGCTGGTGCTGATGGATTTCCCTCCCAAAAGATTACAATTGTATAAAAGATAAAAGGATTCAAAAAAAAAAAAAAAAAAAAAAGCAGGCACCAGGCAGACAACTAGCTAGCAACTGAGTTCTGGTATTTCCCTGTCCTCAGCAGAAATTACCCACGCACAGTGCCAGCTGTACAAGCTGCTCTGCACTCTGCAGACAGGATACATAAGACAGACTGCAGATCAGCACCTTCAGGAGGCAGAGAGGTGTGGGCCAAAAGGGGTGATCTTGGTAATGATCGGCATTTTCAAACTGCTAACAGCTGCCTAATCCGGCATGGACTGTGCTAAGTAACTCAGTGACACTGGGTTTCTCATTTAATTCTTCGTGGTCATTGCAAAGGGATAACTGCTGCTCAGGTTAACACACACTTCACATGAGGAAGTCCTAATTATAACTCACAGAATAGTTACCTACACCTCTGGAAAGATAAGCAACTCAACCAAGAAAGAACTAAGGCTTTCTCCTTCATCCTTTCTTCGAGATAGAAGAGTAGGAACAGTCTTGCTTCCATCAGACTAGCTTACATTTTCCATCCTTACAAGAGAGGAGGAAGAGAGTGTAACATGTTAACTCTGTGAAATTCTGGACTCCACTGTATCACCATCTGCTCAGCAGGCATGCAATGCATACCTCAGGAATGGTAATATAGTTTAAAAAAAAAAAAATTAAAAGTCCCATGTTGTTGGGATAACAATAATGGAAAAGGGCAGGATGTTGCACAGACATCAGGACAGAACAAGCTTTCCTGTACATCACATCCCAGAGTGAGAATCTCCAATGCTGGTTCCAGCAAGCAGCATGAAAGCTTATACCACTGCTTTCATATGTACCTGCTGGTGGAGGGAAGAAAAAAAAAAAGAAAAGAAGAAAAAGATCATCATATTCAGTGACAGGAGAAGCCAATGAAGACAACAGCTTCTTTCTGTAGAAGAAAAAAAAGTTAATTTGGGACAAGCTGATTTTCTTCAGTTTGACAGTACAAAGCCCCTCTATGAATCTAGTGTCTATCCTCTCCAAGAGCACTTGTGTGGCTGTAACACTGCTGGCAACCTCCCCTGAGCAGGGGATTCCTGTCCTCTATCAAGCAGTCTTGTTTTAAATATGGAGCTATCATTACTGGGGTGATACCAATGAGATGGGATGTCGTACCAGAGAGGGAGGTGAACATGACCTTTCTAGCTTAGTGGTAATAGTCAACAGTGATGTAGATAGTATATTTAACTAACTGTTCTGCAGAAACGGATCATGATGTTCATTCAGCTCTTCAGAGGTAAGAGCCCACCCCCCCCCAAAAGCTCAGTACAACTGGTACTTTCACTGGCAGTTTCTCCAGAAGCCCAGAAATGACAATGCCTGGAATATGGCTCTCCTCTTGTGTCATGGGCAAATCTTCCTCCACATTCAGGTTGAGGTATGTGAAGAGCTGCCCAAGGAGGAGAGCGGTGCTTACCACATCCTGCTTCCCTGCACTAATGTATTACACATCATTACCAAATCCCAAGGGAAAATGAAACTCCAGGGAAGAGTCATCTTGTTAATTGCAAAGTGTGACTCAGCCTGCAGATTGTGACCAGCATGAGGGGTTTTGGTTTTACTGCATTTGAAAGAGCTCGTTTAATGCTGCAACAGCATTCACAGCAGCTCTGGGACCAGAGAGAATCACTATCTGCTCAACATAGCTCTGAAAGATCCCTGTGCCTGTCCTTAAACTGGGGCTCCCACTCACGTGCACTGCTGCAGAATGTTAACGCAAAAATCTGTACTGTTTTAGAGCAGCTGGTCAGTCAGAGGAAGAGGGAAAACCTAAGGGTCACTCTTTCTACTCAACATGGAGCTTAAGGCCTTGAAATGCTCGATGCTGGAATCCAGATCAATCTGTTTACACAGTGCCTGCTCAGGCTGCTGCCTCTGGGAAGGACTGTGGGGCGCACACGGCCCTTCTGGCTGGAGCAGTTCCCCCTCCTAATGCAAAATCAGGGAAGGGAATAACCACAGTTTGAAATAAAGTTAAAATAATCAGTCTCTCCAGATGCTGTTTGCAGCTATCTGTTTGACAGTCAGTTTCTACCATCTGCTGAGTCTCTTTTGAATGTGAAACCCAGCACTACAGAAAAACAGAGTTTAAGCAACTGGGAGCAACTGTCCCCTCAAGGTCACGTTCAGTTTGAGCCCCCTCTTCATATGTCACAAGTTGACTGCATGCTGCCACTTGCTGAGATGTTGGAGGAGGTCTGAGACAATGGGGCAGGACTGTCCCCATCCTGCTCCCTGAAGGGCCATGACTCTCTCTTCAGCTCAGTGGAAGGACTAACACTGAACAGAGGCTTTGTAGACTCTAGTGGAGTATTTTTCAGTAAGTCATCTTCCACCTCCATCTCTTCAGAAGGGAGACAACCTGCAAATGCTTGTGAGGAGCCACGTCCCTCAGAGTTCACTGAATTCTCAGCGGGGAGCTTTTTGTAAGGTAGTGGCTCGGGCTGGGCCAGCACTAATGGTTGATTACATGCTGGATCTCTACACGTGTTCTCACCAGGGCAAACCCCATTTTCCTCCTGGGCCGCTGCCCCATCTGAACAGTCCATATCCTCTTCTTGTCCTGGTACAGGAAGAAATTCTGACCTGTGAGGCTTGGCTTGAAAGGGTGGAATCTCTGACACACCATATTTACTGCTACTCAGGAGTTTCTGCCGAACCTCTGCACCTAGCTGGGTTGGGTCACACCTGCTGACAGTTGAGGACAGTCCCCCAAACAGGCCATATTCCTTGTGCGGCAATTCAGGAGAGAGCGGAAGTGATCTGCACCTCCTCCCAGGAAGAAGGGAAAATTCTTGCCAGTCTGTGCTATACGCCTGCCGGAACTGGGACTGGCTGGCTTTCAGGCCTCCACCTGCCTCTGGAGAATGCAAGTCAAACACAAGGGAAATCACAGACTTGCTTGGCATGTCAAAGAATTTGATCTTCCCCCCCTTGAGGTCCTCCCGGGCACTGAAGGGATTAACTTTTCGGCCTAGCCCTTTGTTTGGCGTATAGTAGGGGTCCTGCACGTTTATCTTCCTGGAAGGCTTGCGGGAAAAGATATCTGACTGGCTGCGTGACAACCAGATATTCCGACGTGGACGGGGTGACTTGGGTGGGATCTTATCATCCAGGGAACTCAAACGTTTTACTCCTGGTCCTTTTTCAATTGATCCTGAGTAGAAAAAAAGAAATACTTAGCTTAAAGGAGCTATATATACCTATATGTCTGCTCACTCACAGAGCTTTCATGAAAACTGTAAAGAAAAAACTGCATTTCTGATGTTCCAAAGTATCTTCCATAAGCACGTACCTGCTCACTCCTTACGAGTTCCTGCACAAACACAAGTACACTGTTCTCTTCTCCTCAGTGTATTACTGGTTTCAAATGTGGAGATTTGGCAGCCCTGTCCACAGGACCTTTTAAATGTAAGGCAGTCAAAACTACATTTAAAATATTCTCTCCTCTTTATTCATGCCTCAGGCTAATTAAAAGTCATCTTGAAGACCTGAGGAAATGCAAATTCAGTTCATGTCATCTTACTTCTCTAGGCACTGAAACCGAATGGCTTCTTTATCATCTTATGATCAAATTTGCCACCCACATTACAGGGGATGCTAATTTGGCAAAACAATATTGTCTTCAGGAAAAAAAAAAAAAAAAAAAAAAAAAAAGGAAGGGAAACTGTACAAAAATTTCGTAGGAATGAGGAAGCATTTCCCTCTTCTATCCAAACTGTATTTTAGGGCCCCTTCAAACTTCCTCACTGCCAGTACACTGACACAGCAGAGATAGCACAGGGTGGTCTTGGAGAAGAACAATTTCCATGTTTCTAGATCTATCATCCTGGACTCCAGCAGAGGTTGCCAAAGATGTGTTGGTGATACTGACCATAAGAGAACAAGTAAAAAACACATTTGCCAAAAGAATTGGGACTTTTTCACCCTAATGGGAAAAGTCTAAGGCCAAAATAAATCCCCCTCCTGATACCATGAAGAGTTTAAATCATTTCATCTCAGCTTTCATTCAGTACATTATTAAATACAGAAACTAGGGATATATGAGAATTTGACCTTAACGAATAGGATTTTAAAAATTTTACATATGCATGTGTGTGTGTTTATTTGCACGCACACACACACACACACATATATATGAATAAAAGCTGTGTCACTGGAACAGGATGGGAAAATTAGGAAAAGATGCTAACTCCTTGAGTGTTTGGAACATGGATCTGCCACTGGCTCTCAAGGTGCTTCTGAAGAGCTGTTGTAGAGCAATAACAAAAAGATATAAAGAAATTATATCTCCTTTTGATTACTATTTCCAAAATCAGCACATACAGATTTTCTCTTTTCCCTTTAAATACTGCCACAGTTTAGACTGTAGCCACTCCACCTAGGAAAGTCTATACAAGTCAAAAAACTGCATGTAACACTTCTCCAAGAAGATGCAAGTCTCACATGTACTCCAAAGGGAGAATGCCAAGAAAATGAAAAGAAAAAAGAAAGCAAACCAAAACCCCCCAGAAAACAACCAAATTCCCTTTTTAACTCACACCTCTTTTAAATGCTTTCCACCTGTGCGAGAACAACCCCATGTATACACTCCATGGGGTTTGAAAAACAGAACTTATTTCAATCTATAACCATATTAGATAGATATGTGTATATATATTGTGTATTTATATATGCACAATACAAGAAACTATTTTACTGTACTCTAAGCTTCCAATGCTAGAAGTCTACTAAGATAAAAAATACCCAAGACAAAATATGGCCCAGTCTACAAGAACTGCCTGCAGTTTGCTCCTCACACCAGGTGGCACTAGACAGCTTTAGAGACAATCCTTCAAGGCCAGCATTCCCAAGATCTGGGATTCATCTTCTCCCTAGTCTTTCAGAGTAACTCTTGCATTTTCTCTGCTCTTCCTCCTGAAGGAATTTAAGAAGCTTCTAGGTGTTACATGTAACATATAGAAAAGAAGTTATGTATATGCACTAAGTATGGCAGGGACAAAGCAGAAGTTGATGAATTTTCATATACTGCTAGCAACTTACAAAACCATTCTGAAATGAACTCTTTATTTCCTCTCAGCGCTTGTGGGCAGACTCTTCTGAGGCACTTTAAGAAACAGTTAGCTGTTTTTTGCACTGCAGTGTCCTTTGGGGAAAGTATATAGCACTATTCCAGAATAGTTTTCAGGCTTTGAGTAAAATAATTCATAAGTTGTAAATAATACCTTATAAAGCTGAAATCCGTCTTCAAAATGTGAAGCGTTCTATCCTTTTGCTAGTAGCCTGCAGCAATGTTTGTACAATACAGACACTTACCTTTGGGTTTTCTTTCACTGTTGTCGAGGTTCAAAAACTTTCTCTCTCTCTCTGAATCCTCATTTCTCAGGCGGTTTAAAATCTCCTCCAGTGTTTTGACAATATCAGCAAATGAAGGACGCAACTTTGGATCCATCTGGGAACGCACACAAATCAAATCAGTTCTTGTCAGTTTGTCCATGCTATTCTACTTACAGTGGACAGAGAGGGACAATCTGACGGAACTGAGGAAATTCAAGACTGTTTTAAGACACATGTTGTCATTGCAAAAAAACTAAGTAAGGCAAGGGAAAAGTAGTATTCTGTTCTAGTTTATGTCTATTATACCTCCCACATTTAATTATCAAATTGTAAACATTCTATGAAGAGGACACATTTTAAATTGAAAACATGGGAAACTTAGATTCAGGGCTTGCAAGGGGGATTTGTTTGTTTGTTTTAAACGGCTTTCATAATTCAAGGATTTCTTTCTTGACTCCAGTTATCAGTCAGAGACTATATATCGATGTTATTTCCAAATGTGCCTGAAACAATAAGGATTAAACAAAGCAACTTGTCTATGTCATTCTTTACAAGTTTGTAATTCTTCCATCATTTCCTTGTGGCCTTTATTGAAACCTACCTAAATGGCATTGCTGATTTTAGAACTTTAAAATGTTGTATCTTTCCATTTGTTAATTACCCTTACTACTCAGTGTACTGATCTGTCTTGTGAGGAAGCAAGATTGGTTATATAATTTGACATAATAATACAACAGAAAAAAAAATCCATCTTTGCCCAACTAAAATATCTCTCCCCTAGTCATCAGTATGTATTCAGTTTGTATTTATCAGTATGTATTTATTTATTCACCCTAGTAGAAATGGTTCTCTAAAAGTCCAACACAAATTGTACTAGAGGGCAAGCAGCTTAATTTAAGTAGTAACTTAGAAGGTATTTAATCATTTTGAACATTGACCCTGTATATATGTTACAGTTTTAACTACTGTAGGTAGGAATGTCTAATTCAGCATCTGAAAGTTAACCTCATTATGCTATTTAAAAAGATTCCATTTGACCTGATTCCTGTTTCCAGCCCCCTAAAGGCTTTTTCAGAGTGGACAAGCCCAGACAGATCTCACCTCTAGTACAAAGGGAACAGTGGTGCTTTGTACAAAACAAACCCCAAAGACCTCCCTGATTCTGCCTTGCAGGTCCTATGAGATGGATGTTTCTGTAGAGAACTTGTATGATCAGCCATGCCAAAACACCTTCTAAGCAACACAGGGTAAAGGGCTAAAAATTCATACATACAGTAATAAAAACCAAACAAATCACACTTGAAGAGCTCAATTTCCAGGAATTTCCTGGCATAGGAAAACATCTTTTTCTGCTTTTCTCATTTCACTGAAAGAGTAAGGTCAGGGCAACACCAAAGCACACACACTGCCAAATTTATTAATTTGGGAAGCTTAGGGAGCTGTTGCAAGCTACAGAAAGTAAGAAGAGCTCTCTGGCTTTTTAAATTTGTGCTAGGTAGAATCCAGGACAAGAAAACCAATGGAAAAGTGACTGAGAACAACATTTGCCTCTTCCATCCCTGAGCAGTCCAGATTCTCCTCAAATGAAATAGAAGGTTCTTCCTCAAGGCAGCAGTTGCCTACAGCTCAGCTCATGCTGGTAAGCTTTTTGCATGATCATACAAGATAACATTTGTAAATATTCACACAAATAGACTTATAGTTGCTGGGGAGCCTTAAGTTTTAGACTTCCTTGCATGTACTTAAAAAAAAACACTTTATAACAGCAAATTAAAGAAATTTTAATCCATTACTCATAGATGCCAGTTTTTACTGGTTTTTTTTTAAAGTTGCCCTTAAACACATTTCCTGGCTGTAGAAAACCTCAGGGCTTTGCACATTAGTTCAGCTAATCAGCTGACCTATACAGTTTACACTGTTTGTTGACCTATTAAATAATAAAAAGCTATATAAACATCCATGTCTATGAGCAAATTATCACACAGATCACCTATTACTGAAGCACAGCATGCTTATGAAGATATAAGAAAGCCTTATCTGTTCACCACCTTTTTCCTTCTACTAGGTAAGTGGTAAGTGAATTACACCATGCCCCACATTGGAATCACCATGTGAATGGCTTGATCACAAGACAGTAATTTCCACTTTCAATTCAGGGAAGGGACATTTATTATACAGGAAGCAGCATTTGATGATAATCAGTAGGAGAAAATGCTTTTTCTCTGAACACATGAAATTCTTGTATCAGGCACTTCCCCTTTCTTCATTAGTAGCTTTACGCTGAATTTCACCTGTGCTGAAAACCAGCTTTGTATCATGCACCATGTGTTCGGATGCAATACGATTTTTTAGAGTCTACAGGTGAGAGTTGAGATTTCCAAAGTCAAATCCTACCTCTAGTCAAACACTTCAGTGCTAACATAGTCAAAACACTTTATAAGCATGAGTCAGGCATACCACTGTCCTGATGAAGCAAGCTCCACTGTACAAAGGTGAAATGGGAGGAGTGAAGTAGTTTGTCCAGAGTAAGTTCCACAAGCATTTTTAGAATTAAATTACGCTCTCTTGTGTCAAAAGCAGCAGTCACCCCCACCTGCTCACATCCTCACCTTTATACTGCTCTCCCCTTGAGCATGTTCATTTGTACTACTACAAAGCAAAGAGTGAGTTTGGGAGAAAAATAAGCATCAAGAGCATGGAGAGATGAGACTTTTCATTGGGACACAGTGCTGGTATTGGCTCCAGCATGGCCTGGTTGTGGAATCCCAGGCAAAGTTCTGTGCAATAAGATTTTTAGAAGTTGCCTCAACCTAAGTTGTGCAAACTGGACATTCTCAACTTCAGCTGAATCTGGTGGAAGCTCAGATTCTCTTAATTCATATAAACCAGTTTACTATAAAGGTACTAGCAACCCCTGTTGTGGGATAAACACAAAAGATACCCGATTCCTTGAAATTTTCACACTGAGAAGCCATGAAGGTATCCAGCACTATCACAATTTTACTTGAATAATTGGCAGAAAATTTACTTCATACAGCACATTGCCTATAGCCTCACTGATATTAAATCATCTGTCTCCAAGTTTGTTTGTTTGGAACACAGACTAGTGATTTGGAGGCTTATCCCACTTTTCAAAATGCAGCATATAGAAACTTCAGAGTACTTTAATGCCTGCTCTTGATTTGTTTGTCCCCTCTGTGAGAACAACTCAGAATTCTTTCTTCACAGCTCAGTAGATCTGTACACAATAACAGCTGGATTTTGTCAGCCCAAGGGCCAGTCCATGTCAATAGCATACAACTGGTTATGATCAGCCTGAACAGCCTGTAAGAAGCTGTTCAGTGTGCCAGACCTGTTTGTTTGGCATGACAAAACACAGAATTGCAAAAAACACAAGATACACCTTTTTGCAAGGGGAAGGGTTATAAAAGCTACAAGGGACTTTGTGGGTTCTCAGAATGTACACTGCTTTTATAGGTAGGCTCTTTGAGTCTCTTCTGTAAATGTTTTAAGCTCTGTCTTCAAAAGCCAGAGGGATTTAGAGAACTCCAGTTTAGGCCTCTCCCCTTCAAGTAAGATACTCACGTTACAGCAGTTGAAGGCCAGCTGGAGGAAGTCAGGGGGACAGTCTCCCACCATGTGCTGGAAGGCATCATAATCTAATCCAAAATTCTGTACAAATGAAAACACAGCATAGAGATGCAAATGAGGTCTGCTATCTGGCCCAAAGCACCATCTTGTCAGAGAATCCCTACATGGAGTTATTTGGAATAACCAGGAACATCATCTCTCAGCAGCCACATACAGAAGATTTTGAGAAAACTTCATGCACACTTGGAACTGCAAAATTCCCAACAGGGATTACTTGATACAAGATACCTGTAAGAGAATGAGCTGACTTCAAAGCCCATACTTCTTCCTGGACTCAACTCCAATCCACTTCACTTGAAATGTTGCCCATGTGGATCTGGAAGCAATATCTTATACTATGATGTTTCACCATGGTGACTTTCACAGTGTAAATTAAGAGCCTGCTATAAAGTCAGAGGTTTCACCATGATGAAAATTTATCAATTCAAATGGTTAATTTTTCAGTGGATGGTAGACTGGTAATACAAACTATCCAGTTCCTTAAATGCACTTCTGTAAAATCTGAATGGCAGAGAAACAAATGAATCTCTTATTTACTGCATCTTAAGACCTAAGAAATTTTGCATTTTCAGAACTGGAGGGGGGATAGACAATTTGGAAGACCCCCCCATAGAGGGCCAAAAGCTGCCCTGCAGATGGGACTCAACCAAAAGGCAACTAAGGAAAGTAAGAAGTATCTCGTTTGACTAGTCAATTCTAGCTCAGATCCACAGTGCTTAGCACAGTCTATGCAAAAATAAAGGTGAGCTTATTTTAGCTTCTGCTAACATGGCTCCTGCCCCTTTCACAAGGAGGGGCTGTTTAGTGGATGCAGTATGCCAAAAGCACTCTGTTCTGAATCTGGCAAGAAGTCTACATGAGCTATCACTCTACAAAAGGAAGGTCGCTGCAATGCTCTCACTGTTCTGCCAGTTAGGGGCAGAAAGGATTTCCCATGAGGATTGCAGCTGGACAAAGTCTCTGTGAAAGTGTCTTCAATGGAGCTTCTTACAATAACAGCACAGAACAACAAAAGCCTTTTACAGGCTATTTTTAATGTAACACCTATTCATCGTATCTTTGGCAGCAGTGCCAGAAGTTCTAAAGGCTAGCCATTATCATGGCATACTCACCCACCTCCCACCAATGTTATAAACGAAACCACTTACCTCTGTGCGAGGGAGATAGTCTGGATCTGCCTGTATTCTTGCTATAATCTCACATAGAATTATACCATAGGAGAACACATCTGCCTGAGAGAGAAAAAAAATAAATAGCCACATGGTTCAGCTATGAATACTCAGCGCTCTTATCTGCCACTGAGTTTCTCCTTACCCCAAATGGTTATCATGAAGCAACTAAACCAACACCACAGCCTTACAACACTAAGCAACCGCGTTATAGCTAACACTTTCTGTGTGAAGAAACACGCTCACAGTAAAACAGTTACACAAATAGTAACTTTAAAACTGTTTCAAGAAAATAAAAAAAAAAAAAACCAAAAACAAAAACAACCCCAGATCACTCTTAATTGTGTAAAAAAAAAAATTAAAAAAAAAAAAATTCTTTCCTTGCCTAAAGAATGGTGAAGTTGCATTTGATGTCTTACAGACAGGAGTAATTAAAAAACACAGCCAAACATGACATGCCTGTATATCACTGTGGTTAGAAAGACAGGTTTAGAATACACATGATCACAGCTTATCCAGAACATTAATGCTGCTTTTAAGAAAAAGTATATTTTTCTCTTCTCACAGTTCAGTACCTCTGGAGAAAACAGTGTCTTTCCCAAAGCCTGAGATATCTAGTAACACTGTACACCAGTATCAATTTCCATTGAAATTTCCATGATGCTTAGTAATCACTTATCTGACTACCCCTGGAGCTGCACAGTTCCTCAGATTTCCACCCACTTGAATTTATTACATAATAAAATGTAGGAAAACATGGAATACAAGTCTGCAGAGCAGAAGTCAGCATCCCTTATCCCTTACATATCAAGCAGGCTTATATGTCACCTTTCATGCTGATGAGCTAGGAGACCTGCTTCCTCCTTAGTCTTCCATGCCCTAGGGTTAGTGAAGAATGTGGCACCATAGATTTGGATACTTTATTATTAATTTAGGTCAATTGGAACTCTTAAAAAAGCTTTGAAATGGTAATTATTAAATTCATTACTGAAGTAGCTATTGCTTTCCTGCAAGTTAAAAGTACCACAAATTAAACAGATTATTGACCACTAGCTATAAAAAGGTACAGGATGTGGGCTTTATCACAGGAAAGCTGCACTTACAGGGCTGAAGTACACTATGTTATACATGGGAGAGAAAACCCTGTATAAAGAAGAGCTTGATTGAAAATACTATTTCTAAAATCCAATGTCATCTGCTCCTCCTCTGAAAGCAAAATTTCCCAATGCCACAAATAAGAAAACTTAGAAATACCTTTGGAGAACATTTTTATCCAGGTATCTTACCTTGAAAATGTTGTTTTTAAAAAATGTTTTGTTTAATTAAAATAATTGTACAAATTTATGTATAGACCTTTTATTTCTACCCAGATTTCACTAACGTATGGTCAAGGAAGCAACCTCACTACATTTCTCATGAGACTTGGTTAAATTAAGTTGTGTTGGGTCAACAAGCAATTACCGTATTTCTGCATATGGGGTGTTTCAGAATGGAAATAGCATAACAGTGACTTATGCTAAAGGTAATTCTATTTCTTCATAAGAATTCACACCATGAACTAAAAATATTAACTATTCAACTCATACACTCCATTATTCTAAGTGACCTACTGGCTATAGAAATGTCAGAAATAAAAATAAACATGTTAATATTATGGAAATTTTAAGTCTTATATAAAGCTACTGAAGAGAAACATCTGACAAAAGTCCATTTATATCATGTACCTTACCTTTTCATTGTAAGGTTCATCTCTGAGAACTTCTGGTGCCATCCAGAAGGGTGAACCCACCACTGGTAACTTCTCACTATATAGATATGGGACAGATGGGGGAAGACGGGGGAGGGGGAGAAAGGGGAAAAAAAAATAATGAAATGCTTAGGCATTGCTACTAACTTTCCATAACTCCAAGTATCTGCAGAAACTTCCACCAGAGGGAAGTCGATACAAGTGGGTTCTATAATATACTGTATTCGCTACTTTAAAAAAAAATATTCTTTTATTTCAAGGTCACCACTTTTCTACAGTTTTGGTTTCCAAACTTGTGGCAGAGTTGGCTCCTTCATCTATACATAGAAGGGTTTGTGGACATCAGTTTTGGGCTAGATGCCAAGTGCTCCATTCATGCAGCAAGACATGCAGGTATCCATCCTTACCCATATACCAATAAGCAGCTCTAGGAAGTATTCAGCAGAGCCTGCTTGCAAACTGTGTTTTTTAAAAAACAGTCAAGATCAAACAGATGAATCCTTTAATACCAAAAAATTAAAAGCAATCAGAACAGAGACAATTTGAAATATTTTCAATGTTTCCATATGGCTGAATACTGGAACCTTAAGAAAGGCCTCCAGCTTGCCACCCAGCTGATCTTGAAGAAATACCTATTTTGAAAAAAAGGCCTCTGAAAGCCTCAAAATAGCATGGCTTGCTAGTGAGCAAACTGGAAACAACAAAACTGCATTTCAAAATGGAGGTAAGACTAGATCAAAGAAAAACAATGGCTAATTTAACAATTTATCATGTTGTTTGTTTTAGTATCAAGCTATCTTAACTTTAGCTGCTCCCATGTTTCAGGGCATCTCAAACCTGAGTATTAAGAACACCTTAAGGCACCTGTGGTGCCTTCCTGATTTTGTAATGGGCTCCTATGAATACAGCTGAAGCTTTCAGCACCTTAAAGGGCAGAGATTCCGCAGAAGCATACAAGATATACACTGGCTGTACTTATCAGTAGCTTCAAAATTAAGTTGTTCACTTTGTTAAGCTTTTAGATCAATATTTCATCAACATTAATGCAAGCCTTCGGACCTTCCAAGATATGGTTTTAGGATACATGCAGTTTAAAAACCAGTGCATAGCTGTGATCAACTTTTATTGTTTTCTATGCAGTCAAGAGAGCTGGAAGGCTTTTATTTATTTTACACAGAAGCATACACTGGAGAAAATCTGACAGCACATTTCAAAGTCAGAATACTCTGAAATACACAAGTCAATATACAGAGAGAACAATGAAATCCTTGTCCTTGATCTCCCTAATGGAGGGATAACAAAAGGACTATTTCCAATTGTGACAATAGCTTGTGACAGTCACCTGTGCATTCCTCAAATGAGTTAAGATTATAGTTTCATCCTATGGAGAGCACAACAGTGAGCTACTGTTAGAACAGTAATTTTAATATCTCTTTGTTATAAACCTGGATCTTAACAATTAACACATAGGTTAAAGAGAGTAATACTGTAATGCCACTGAATATCATTTATGGGAATGGCAAGCTAAAGTTGCTTGGAATCAGAAAACATTTATTACAAAATCATCCCAATACAGAATGGTGGACAGTATTTTTGTGTTTGCTTTGTTGTTTTTTTTTTAAAAACCAAAATTCCCAAGTATCTGCTTAGAATATCTACTGAAAACTTGAGTAAATCCTCTACTCACTGGAGCATTTTTGAAGAATAAATGTCACCACTAATTCTATCAAAATGGACAGTAACTAAGGCTGGAACATTTTGGTCATCCAGCCTGCGGTTCTAGACTGAATGCTGAAGATATTTTTTGCAAATTTCACATCAGAATGCAACAATGGCCTCAGAGATCTGGCTCATTAGAGCTTCTGATCTGCAATCGTACTGCAATTTTAGCTATATTTTAATTAGTTCACGTACCTGTGATCAGGAATTTTCTCTGCTAAACCAAAGTCTCCCACTATTGCTGAGTATCCGTTCTCATCATGTTTTATTAAGCAGTTCTGTAATTAAAAAAACAAAACAAAACAAAATAAAAAAAACACCAAAAAAAACAAACCACAACCAAACAGAAAAGTTATTGTCTGGGCATGAAACCCATATACTGTTTGCTTTATTTATTTTTAATCTGGAACAAGACTATAAGATATTGTTTGTAAGACATTCATCTATGAGAAGCTTTTGTCTGAAAGCAACCACCCTTTTCCCCTACCCTCCCCCCTACACAATCACGTCTGTCAAACTTAAGATGCTGCAGTCTTACACTTAGTTAATAATCCACTTAAAAACTTGCTGAGAAAGCAGACAGCCACAAGCAGCACATACTCAGTTAGGTTCTAGCAAGAACTAAGATGATTTTGCTCCCTTACTGCTTGAGTATGCAATACATGATATTCACTATGACACTTTACATTTTCTCTTTACAATTTGCCTGTACCTGACCAGAATACAAGATCAGGGCAGACTCTAAATAGCTTTCTGTATTTTGCTACACTAACTACTGAAAAGGAACTCGCTGCTTTGCAGTAGATTTTAATCAGAAAATACAAGATGTGACAAAGTTATATGTGCTTTTATAGTCTCAAAATTCTTTATTCTACAGTACATCATAAAACATGACTTAAGGGAAAGGTCTAATAGGGAAAAGCTGTCAATTTTTTCCTCTCAGATGTGCCCTCCACTGTCAGGAGGGAGGGCAATTTAAAGACACATAGAGATAATTCTGGTCTGGCAGCACCACATCACACCCAACATATTATTGATTTATTTTTGTTATTTATTTACAACTCTGAGAAATATGCTTTGACTGTTCCAGTACCACATCTTTTCCCTTCTTACTGAATTAATTGATAGCTGACTTCCCTAAGTTTTTTTCTGTCCTGCAATAGGTGGAGCAAGACAGAGGATTCATTCCCTTACCACATGTCTTGCTCTGTATCCTTCTGCAGGCAGTACAATAGCAGTGACAGGCAGCAAAACCACTGCTGACTCCTACAGAGTGGTACCCTGCATTAATTAGCTAAACAGCAGGAAACACTTTCTAGCTTTATTGTGCTTGGATGTATAAAAGCCCCTCACTGACCCCAGAGCATTAGCTTGTCTGTATAATGAAACTACCAAGAAAAGTGAGTCCCTTGTCTAAAAGATCAAGTTCAGGTCATCACTGTTTACATTATTCAGAGATGATTGTGGATCAGGCCATGAAGTGAGTTTTTTTCCTGCCAATTAAAAGGTTAAGCAAGCCACTCCTGTGATCATGTAAAGAAAATGCATGCCAGCCTCTTGAAACACATGCTGGCTCCTAAGATGCAAAGTTTTATTTATTTAGCATGACTCAAGTATAATAAATACAGTTAGTTTGAAGATTTATAAACATGTACCAAGTTAAGTCAACCATGCTTGCCCAAAGAGCAGCAAAGCTTCTCAGTTATGGGCTTTGTTATATTTTATCAAAGAGCACATTCACTCAGCTTGCCTCTGTTTGAAAGATTTGGTCGCTGTAAGCGGACTTAAAACTGAGAAGGATAAAACTTTTCTGAAAAATCTTACTCAAATGATTCAGACAAGTGGAATTTCATTGTGTACCAAACAAACAAGTCCATGAGGACATCAAAGATTTTGCAGTGTACAAGAATGACAATACTATTTTATGCAACAAAATGTCAGGTTATTTTCTGCCCCAGAGTTCTCAGCAATTAAAGATGATTCGTAATTTGACATTTAAAAAAAAAAAAAAAACAAAAACCAAACAAACCCTCTATGACTCATAAAATAACTAGTTTTAAAATCTAGATTTCCTTCTTGCATTACCTTTGACTATTTACATTTTGTTCATTCTGAGTAGTAAGACTGCAGTGGTTAAGTTTACCTCCTGATTTTTGTGGATTAGGGTTATTCTCCAATAACCTCTGGTCTCCAAAATTGCAGGGGAACATTTAAATCCAGACTAAGAACTATTTTCAACATCACTAAAAATCTGTAGAAACATTTCTACTGACCTTAAGATCTGCAATAATTTACAGAGCTGCTTTGATACCAAATAGTGACTGAAATACAACATGATCCTGTCAGCAAATTTTCCTTCAGCTTCTTACCAGTATACAATCACATCCCTTTAGACAGCAATACATCACCAACTGAAGATAAACAATCTTACTCCTCACCAAGCCCCAGGCAATCTCAGCTCTCAGGTACGGCACTGAACAATTATACAAGTAGATTATTCCTAGAGAAATCATAAATTAAACCAATAGCACATCCAATCTAGCTGCCAAGTAATGCTACCTGACAGCTCTGAGCTCCTTCCCAGATGAGCAGGAGCTGCTTGCAGCAAAGCAAGGCTCCCTTCCAGTGCAGGCCTTTCGAGAAACCAAACTAAGCAGACATCCCACAGCTGTGGAGTGCAGAGGTCCTGCAGGAGAGGCCAGTACACCATGACAAGGCAATGGGGGAAAGCCTAGAGCAACATTTCTGCTATAAAGTACTGATCAGTTTTTCTGCTGTGGTGGGCTCCATAACATTAAATTACATAAAGAAGGAATCTAAACTATTCTCTCTCATTAGTGGAAGCTTGTCTTTTGTCTGCATATGAATAAGTGCTGAGTGTGAACTTAAATTCATTAGGATACATATTACAGTACAAGAGTGTTTTTTAGTCACACTTAAATCAGCCATGGGCAGATGATACGCACCAGACAAAAAAATGCCAGTGTCACTATAAATGCTCACTGTAGTGAAACTAAACTGATTTAATTCAACTGGTGACATTTTTTATGTAGTTAAACACCAGTTTCCTGAAACCCAGAAAGGATGAAAGCCTATTCTGACTGACATCAATAGTAAACCCCTTCTTCAGATACCAGCATGGTCAGATGTCGCCTTTCAAGCCTCTACTGCTTATTCGGGACAAAGTTTTGCAGATGGCAATGCTTCATTCTGTGCTGAGATTCTCCAAGTGTTCAAAGCCAACCCTCAGCATCACTGTACTCCTTCTCCACTCTTCCCACCATTGTAAAGCCATTACACAACACTGCACCAAATCCGCAGCACAGATGGTTTAGATAGCAGATTTAAGATGCAATTCATGAAAAGGTGACTTACGCAGCCCACAGTAACTGGTAGTTCACGTGCACTCAGTGAAAGACTTTTCTAAGCATTCACATTCTGCTGCCAAAATAAATCAGGATCAAAAAAGGGACAAAGCTTCATTAGAGACTAAAAGGTTGAAAAGAGCTTTTAAATTTAAGCTAGAGGTGTTATCTTAGTAGGAAAAGTATAATAAAGCATACTGCACTGTTTCTTCTGACAAAGTGATACTTCTCAGTTTCTACAAAAAAAGAAAATACGTGCATCAGTTTGGTATGAAGAAGATTCAGTAATGGATTTTGGCACAGATACTCAAGAGTTCAAACCCCTATCAAGTGCTAAGAGCCTCTCAAGAACTGCCTATGAGATGAAATGCCAAGCAGTTTTACAATATGCGCTTTAAGAAAATGCTTTTGACTTACTATTGCACTATTTGTATAAGCTGCAAGGCAATAAAACATTACGACCTTCCCAAGCGTTCTCTTTGGACCTCTACAGACAGGGATGTTCTTTCCTTTGGCAGCTCACACTGTCAAAGAGGGCAGTATTTTACTTCATTTGGGTTCTTGAGGCTTTTTTTCTGTGAAACTGGGACCCCTATCAGTCCTTCCTGAGGCAGTCTCTTAATAGAAGCAAGGAGCTACGTATATGAGCCCTAAAGAGTTAACAGAGCTGTTTATGCAGAGACAGATGTGAAAGAACATAAAGCCCCCTTTGTGTGTTACAGAAGCTTAACATCTGCTTTGCACAGCATAATCCTACTAAGACGAATGCAATATTCTACTCTCCCTTTTACATAAACAAAAACGAAAATAGACTCAAGAGTTTCAGAGTTAAAAATAAGTTGGTTAGATGAAGAAACCCCATCATTTTATTTTACAATATGACATACAAGCTAAACTCCTCAGAGATTTTATTGCACTCCAGAAAATATAGGAATGCTACTGCAGTGTCATTTGCAACCTTCTGATGACTGTTACTGAATTAAAACACTTCAAGGTCAATTGAGATGTATCAGCTGTTTTTAAAGTGCTATCCCCTAGGCAAAACACCATTGACAATGAAACATACAACAGGAAGTTTACAATACTAGATATGCTTTTGACACTAAAACCATTCTGTTTAAGGCACAAGCTCCACTTGGGTCCCAAAGTACCAGTAAAAGTTTAGTATTGCACTATCATTAGAAATAATCATCTGTAACAGCTAATTTTTTCAGTGCAAGCCCTCCCCTGCAGTGCAAAATATCCAGGCGAGAGCCTACTCTACCACAAAGGGGACCTTACAAACACAGCAGCAAGTATGAGACTCATCAGACAAAGGTTCTGTTCATTGCTTGGGTTTTATTTTGTTTTATTTTGTGTTAAACAAGCAAATAGCATACAAGTTAGGAAGTCAGGATATGTCACTTTCAAGCCCAAAGGCAGTGAATTTATGTTACATCAGATAATCCACAGTAATTGCTTACATGCATGATTCTGTCCCGTAGTAACTGAGACTGCTCCTCTTAATGAAAGAAGGGTGAGCCATTACACATTTACTGTGAAGTGAAAGCAGATGTTGGCAGGAATACACACACGTACGCATGTGTGTGTATAAATATATATATATGTATATATATATATGCGCCTAGAGATTAGAGTTTCTTCACAGATTTTATCATCAATGGAGCTCACAATGTTCCCTAAAACTATTCCCTAAACCTACTACTGATTAAAAGATCTTGTTTTCAATTGTACATAATTCTGCAAAACTAAAAGGCATTTGTTTAGGGGTTTGCCTGTTTGTTTTTTATCAAGAGCTTTGGGAGTGGGTTTTTGGGGAGGGTAGTATTCAACTGAGACAGTTCAGCTGCTGAGGAGAACAAACTTAGAATATGTGTTGCAAGCAAGTTTTGAAATAATGAAAATAAAAAATC